GGAAATTCCTGCCAGATCAAGTGGTTCTCAATCTTGGCTACACACTGGAATCACCTGGGGGGCTACAAAAACTAATGATGCCTGGGTTCAGCTCCCAGAGATTTGGACTCAACTGGTCTGGGGTGCACCTAGGTATCAGGAATTTTTAAAGCTCCCCAGGAGCTTTAAATGTGCACCTGAAGTTGAGAACCACAGTATTAGATCCAGTCCGTGGACACGTGTATCACCATTAGGCTTTGATTATAAATTACTTTGGTTAAGTAATCTCTTCCTTGATCCAAATAACCTTACATAAATGATTCATAAGAAAGAAATCTTCCTTGTATGACAATTGTTTCTCAATAAGACAGGAAGGGAGGGAGGGAGGAAGGAGTCTTCCTAGTAAATACTGTCTATTAATTAGGATTTAGCAGAACCAATACCTAATCTAAATTGCAAGTCATCTGGAACAAAATGAGTACTCAGAATATATAGAATTCAAAAGGTCATCAAGTTAGAATCAGATATTTAAGGAATCTTTACACACCTTAGCAGTAGCAAATATATACATTAAGGAAGACATGTTGCATTGATTTTATCAGGAACCTGAGCCACAACTTTCTAAAATCATGTTTCTTAGAAGAAAATGTCACCGGAACCTGAGAGAAAAGTGAGCTGTCAGGATTAACATCTGGTTTCGCATTCAGCCACATTCCATAAGAATTTCATCCTTAATAGGTGTTTCAGAGGATTCTCAAGGTTGACAAAAATGAAACTACTTGCCTCTTGGAGCTTAAAGGTATATGATTCCATATTTGTAGATCTCCTCTCATAGAGGATCAAGGACAGACTTTATTCATCTGGTACAACACAGAAAAAAAATCTATGACTTCCCAGACCAGCCTATCTCCAGAGGCACAAGCCCAAAAGAAGCCAGTCAGCCACATAAGCTAACCGTATTAGTGGTTAATAAGAGACAGAATGCGGTCCATCACGCAAGCAAGCAAGCACAGACTGAAGGGATGGCAAAGCTTCCAAGCAATTTACATATAACGATAACTCTGGAAAAAGCACATCAGTATTTGACAAGCATTGGAGAATAACAGGACACATTCCTACCTTCAAGAAGCTTCCCATCTAGTGGGAAAAATATCAAATAGCACACAAATAAATATAAACATAAGACTGAGAAATGCTACAGAGGAAAAGTAGAGGGTGTTATGAAAACGTATAGTAGGGTAATCAATGTGGCGGTGGGGATGTCGGTGTCAAAGCAAGCTTCCCTAAGGAAGGAGAATAAAACTAGCTAAGGAACAGGAGAGATTAAAAGGCAAAGGGAACAGCATATGCCAAGGCTCAAAGGCAGGAAGGAACACGGCACATGTGAAAAACTGAAGAAAACCAGTTAAGCTTAAGTGCGAAGCCAGGGAAACAGTGGTGTGAACTGAGACTGAAAAATCAAGGCTGGCTAACTCATGTTCAAGATTTTGGCCACTGCTCTAATGGAAGAGAATTCCATCTTCAGAGGAAGGATGTTAATGGGTTTCAAGCAAAAGTAGTAAAATAATCAGGTTTGCCTTTTAAAAAGATCATTCCGCCCTCAATGCGAAGAACTGATTGGAAGAGAGAGCAAGAATCAATGTGGAGAGACCAGTAAGTAGGCTACTTGAAGTAATTCACAGACAAGGCAGCAGGGTGGCTGTAAAGAAAGAGATAAGTAGATTCAAAAGATATTTAAGAAGCAAAATCAACAGGACTTGGTGACACATGTGAAATGATGAAACTGATCTACAATCAGTCCTTAGAAATTCTAGGACATTAAACACTAAACCATTTTATCACTAGTAATCAAGCATTGCAATAAGTGTGGAAAAGAGAAGAATCCACTTCCTGCTATGTTTCCTAGAAATGCCTTCCCTTGAAGCTGCCGGGGGCCTCACTCACTTGTAGAGCAGGCTGGGGGCCTTCAGAGTACACCGGAAACCTTGTGGGGTCTGCACCACCTCATAGCCTTCACAGGACTCTTCTGCACACTCCACGAGACCTGTAGAGAAATGGTAACATCTCGCTCAGAGCTGCTGCTCTATGGACAACAGTCTGCTTTCTCACCAGCTGTCCAACCACTCTCAAGGTTTAAAAAAAGCAATACACACACAAAAAAAACAGTCATACACTTTACACTACAGAACACTGCTCTGATATTCCTTCTGACCTGCTCTTAGAAGAAAAATAAAGAATAAAAAACACATGACTATTTTAAATCTTCCAATCTTGGAACCGTGGAAAAGGAGTATTTACATATCACTATTTAACTGTTTTCTCCCAGAAAGCTAAGACAGTAAAATTTTTTGTACTGTTTTTTCTTTTGGAGATGTGTTTCATGTAACATAAAACTCATCCTCTTAAAATGTACAACTCAGTGGTTTTTAGTATTAAAACACAAAATCACTTCAGTGAATGAGGTGGGAGTGATACTGGAGAACTTACTCCACACAGCCAAGACAAAGAGAAAGGAGGAGGGTGAAATAAAGGAGCTCAAGGCCCCAAGGCAAAAGGGAAACAGCAGGGAGGACCAAGGGGAAGACTATTCCCCAAGGCTTAGGGCCTAATGGAAAAGCTTACAAACCGAAAGGAAAAGGAAGCAGAGAACCTGAAAGGCCCTATTTGTGCATTAAACCCAAGTCCAAGTTAATCAGCCTGAAAATATTGCCCATCTCAACGGTTTAGTTTACTTCTTAAAAATTATCCCTATTTTAAGTAGTAATAATGTTGGTTGTGTATTTGAAACTGCCTGTATATGACTGCAAAGAAGAAAAGAAAAATTACAACACAACAATAATAATAACAACAGCTAACACTGGGCACATGTTCATTTATTTCAATAATTTATAGAAATTACTTCATAGCTTTACAGATAAAAGAACTTCATTTTGCCACAGATTATTAATGGTTAATATTAATAGTTAACTAAAATTACCCCATATTACATTTAAGCCTCTGCACAAAGATGAGACACAACCTGATGTATGAACTGAGAACACCTCATCAAACTCACTCATCTGTCCCCTCAGACGTCAACACAAAGGGAGCTATAAGAGGCCAAACATCTCAAATTTCAGTGCTCACACAGAAATACACTGAAACAAAGAATTGCTTCTACAATACGGAGAACATTTTACTTCTAATCTGACCAAAGATCAACCAGGATTACCTTGATAACAGTCATCATCTTCATCTTCATGTTGATAAGTCTGCTCTTGGATGGGATTCTTCCTGTAAACCCGTCCACCAATTCTTATAAGCTGTGGACGCAGAACTTCCATGATACTTTCTCCAAACAACAGTCCTGTGGAACACTGAAAGATAAACCATCACCTTACCTTTTGTTTTAATCATAAAACCCTACCTCTATTATGTGGATCTTTATGTAAGCCTAAAAGGACATAATTGGGCATCACTTCACAGTACATCCTAAGCAAATGCAGCATTGTTTCCACTAGAGTTCCCCTATCTAGAAGCTGTTTTAAATCAATTGCTGCATTTTCCACTACACTACTCCACTCCTGGCACACTCTAGACAGTAATTTGTAAGCTATTCAGCATTCCCCAAAAAAATGATTAAAAGATACTGAGCCCAGCCATGACTTTGAAAGAGAAACTAGAGATCTCTTCATTACTTTAACCTAAAGAGAGTAAAATGCAACCTTCTGTGCTTATCTAAACATTTGCAAAGTGTCTTACCCTCACTATTTAGCACAACCTTTAAGAGAATTAGGGATATTTAATACACTTATCCTCAAGGGGAGGACAAAAAAAACCCTAAATTCTTTTAGAGGTGCTAGAAATATATACCCAACAATTAGATCCAGTTGCCTATCAAAACAAAGTTAAAATATGACTTAACCAACATGGTTCTCTAAACCAACACATTGCTGAGGGGAGGAATCCGATTTCCGTAGGTAACTGCTCAAAAACTCTACATCACTCACAGAGAAGCCAAGTTTCCAGTCACCATTTAATGAATCAGTAATTTAGGAAACAAAGGTTCCTTACGGGTTAGCTGTGGTTATGTTTAACCAGTGTTTCTACCACGTATGTTAGATGGTCTTGAAGCCCAAAATAACTTAAAAGAGTTCCCCCCCAAAAAATCAATCCTTACTAAATACACTAATGCGCAATCCAATCTCAGCAAGTAAGTCACTTTAATTGGTAATCTGCTTACTGAACCAAGAGGAGATTTCGTGTTGTGAGAAATAACAATATAAAAGGTAAACAGACTTGAATGTCGGAAGAGGGAGCATAATTAGCAATAGTTTAATGACATTATACCCTAGTGCCCAATTTCCCAGGACCTCTCACACACACACAAAAACTCTCCACAAAAACAGACTTTAGGGCTTCCAGGGCTTCCCTGGTGGCGAGTGTTTGAGAGTCCGCCTGCCGATTCAGGGGACGCGGGTTCGTGCCCCGGTCCGGGAGGATCCCGCATGCCGCGGAGCGGCTGGGCCCGTGAGCCATGGCCGCTGGGCCTGCGCGTCCGGAGCCTGTGCTCCACAGCGGGAGAGGCCGCAGCGGTGAGAAGCCCGCGTACCGCAAAAAAAAAAAAAACCAACAGACTTTAATGTTAAGATCGGGCCTCAGACTGAGCTCTGGGAGCAGATATAGGGTTGTCTCAGAGACAGGAAACCCTTCATCTGCCTTTCCTCTACGGCCCTGGGCTACGAGACTGCTCATTAGGAATGACGGGAAAATAACCAATTTCACCCTGCTTCGCGGTGGTTTGGAGAGAGAAAGAGAGAGGAAAGCAGAAGGCCTGCAATGTCGTGGGGGGAGATGAAACCCTGAATCATAAAAGCGAGCAAAATAAAACGAGTACGTCAAAGCGAGCGAAGAGAAACTGGCTCCACTGCGGCAGGAAAACCTCCGTAGGCACAGCAAGCGAAAGACCCGGAAGGCCTCTTCAAGAACGCGTCCCAGCGCTTCTCCGCCCCGACCACGCCCACCACTGCACGGGCACGCGCACGCCGCGACCTCGAGCACGCCGCCGCTCTCGTCGCAGTAAACGCGGCCGCTCCGGTTGGCCTTGGGGGCGGGGCTGTAGAGGAACTTGCCAAAGCCGCAGAGGTAAGTGGTCGAGGGCTCAGGGACCCTCGGGAGCTTGGTGAAAAGGGAGTTGATCCCTGGGATCCTACCTGCAGGGACTAGTAAAATGGAGAAAGTAGGTGGAGAAACAGGAGCCTGCCGCAGAGGGCGTGTAAGAGGAAATTTCCTCAGGCCGCACCAGACTAGTGCGCATGCGGACCGAAGGTTGGCGCCTGCGCAGTGGGGCGGCGCCGATGTCGCCCCCTGGGGACCGGGGTCGGGGGATGAACCGCTGGCATTCTGACCCCTCCGCTCTTCTGCCCCTTTCTTTCCACCCGACCTGTTTTTAGCTGCAGCATCTTTTTGAATGGTAATCCAGCTCTTTGGAATGACTTCTTGATGATGGAGTTTAATGATTGCTTGTAATAATTTGCCATTGTACCAGGGTACTTCCTTCAGCGTCTTTTTGATACGGAGACTTTTTCAGAAGGAAGGATTCTTTTTAAGAACATAAGCTTGTATCTGCTAGGAAGGAAAGTAGTTTATGAATACGAGGTCATCCCTATCATACATGAAGTAAATGTGTTGTTCATCCTATCACTGTGAACAACCATGCTGTGTCTCCCCAAATAGCATTGCTCTCCTATAAGAATCTCTACTGCCAATAGTTCTGACTTCCTTGATAGGGTCAAATACTTCATCATCGGTATTTAAACATTCAAAAAAATTTTACTGAGCACCTACCTTAGGCTTGGCAGCCTAATGGGAGAAACAGTTGTGTAAATAGATCCGCAGAATAAGGAAGAAAAAGAAAACGGTAATGGACCAACCCTCGTGACACCAAGCTTCTCTATCCCCTGCATAACCTTTGCTGAGCTGCTAGCTCTGTGTTCTGTTATTTGTTCATCATTCATTCAGGAAACATTGATCCAGGTTCTGTGCTAGGCTTTGAGGGTAGAAAGACAACTCTTTCCCCTTTTCCTAAGAAAGGGGTTCTTCCTAAGATCTTGAACCTTAAAGTCAAAGTGTGGAGTGCATTTTCCCTCTTCCTGAGCAGGCCCTTTCTCCTCTAGCATTCATTTGACATTGACACTCTATGTCAAATAGAAAGAATTAGGACTTTTCCCATGAGTAAGTGTGTTGAAACATAAGTATGAAAAACTGGGATCTGCAGAGGAAAAAAAAGATTCAGGAGTAAATATCCATCAGTGATTTTGGGTAGCTAATATTAAGTATTTACTGTCCCTATAACTGTTCCAAATGCTTTAGTTATATTAACCTTCCTGACACCTCTGGTGTAGGTACTATCATTATCCCCATTTTAGAGACGAGGCAACTGAGAAGCAGAGAGGCTAAGTGATTTGTCCAAAGTCATACAGCAAGTTAAGTAAAAAAACCAGGACATGAACCTAGGCCAAGAGGCTTCAGAGTCTGAGCCCTTAACCAGTATGCTATTTTACCTCTCACATAGCACATGACGTGCCAATAAAGCCATTGCTTAAAAAATGGCACGGCAAATAAGCTTAAAGTCCCTACACCTCAGTTTTGTTTTGTCATCTGTAAAATGGGGGAATCGGATTAGATGACCTTTAAGGAATCTTGTGATTCCTGTGAAATGTTTAACTCATTTAGCAAACATTTATTTAAATCAGCAGCTGCTTAGTATAGGCCAAGCATAATGTTTGGTTCTGGTGATCAGAATGCCTGCCTTCATGGAGAAGTAACAAGCTAGTGTTTATTGTTGGTTTCACTTCAACTCCTGTTACCCCCTGCTGGTAGCATGCAAAATTTAACCTAAATCTTTAAAGCTAGAAATTACTTAGGTGTATCTTTCCACCTCAGCGGAAAACTGCTTATTTATGTTAAAGTTAGTGCTAATTCTGCACTCCACTTTTCAACCCTGGCTGTTTTGTGTATTTTTTTTTAATCTTCTAATTCCTGTACCTTTTTTTAAAATAAATTTATTTATTTTATTTTTGGCTGTGCTGGGTCTTCGTTGCTGCACGCAGGCTTTCTCTAGTCGTGTTGAGTGGGCTTCTCACCACGGTGGCTTCTCTTGTTGCGGAGCATGGACTCTAGGCACGTGGGCTCAGTAGCTGTGGCTCAAGGGCTCTAGAGCGCAGGCTCAGTAGTTGTGGCACATGGGCTTACTTACTCCATGGCATGTGGTATCTTCCAGGACCAGGGCTCAAACACATGTCCCCTGCATTGGAAGGTGGATTCTTAACCACTGTGCCACCAGGGAAGCCCTGTTTTTTGTATTGAATGACAGTAGTTCTGAGTTTGCAGGAAGACTACAGTATTCTTTTTAGAAAACATAAACTTAAAAAAAAAAAAAAAAAAAAAGAAAACATAAACTTTTTAGAATCTTTTGTAAATGTGTAGTATAAGCTTCTGTTTTGAACTTTTTTAAGGAATTGTGTATTCGGTACAGATTTTTCTCATTTACATTTTGACTTTTTGATTTTTTGATGTGACATAATATTAAACACTCACCATTCCTCTAATTCCTAATAGGCCTTGAATTCTAAGATCATTCCTGAACTATTAATATTTTGTTCCAGTTTTGGGCCGCCACCAAGTGATCAATTTGGGTATTACATTTGAATGAAAAAGTTGTGGCGTTTTTTTGTTTTTTGGGTTTTTTTTAAATGAAAGGGCCAATATGTATTTCCTAACCAATTCCCCTTCCTTGGGAACAGAACACACTGTTATTCTGGAATTTTATTTGGAAAATTTTATAAGTGAATTTCTTGGTGTGGTTGGGTCAGGATGTGTCCAAGACAAACTATCCTATGAGGCATGGTTGTTTTATCCTCACCTACTTCACTTCCTCCGTTAAATTGCTACCTTGGCACTGCCGTATCACCACTTCATAACCCATAAATCACCCACAGTCAATCCCAAGTGACATAAACAGTTTGCTAATGGTAGGAAGTAGTGTTTCGAGTAGAAAAACTAAGAATAAACATATTTTCACTTAAAATCCTGAGTGACATTTTGGCCTGAGGCATCAGTAAAAGATCGTGGAGTACAGAGGGTAGAAAAAATTGGAGCTAATTCTTGACTAAACTGTATGCTGGCTTTTATGGCAGCTAGAATGAAATGTTGTCAATCTCACTTCCATAAACTTGCCAATTGCTGTTTTTCTTTCTCTGTAGTGAAGTGAGAATTCTACTAGAGAGGAGATGGCTGCCTCTTCATCCTCCTCAGCCGGTGGGGTCAGTGGAAGTTCTGTCACTGGATCTGGTTTCAGTGTCTCAGACCTTGCCCCACCACGGAAAGCCCTTTTCACCTACCCCAAAGGAGCTGGAGAGATGTTAGAAGGTGATCTCATGCTGCTTTTTGCTGAATAATTGGATTCAGACCTGCTATGAATATTAATTGTAAAGAAGCTATTAAGTGGATTAGAGATAAGTTTGCCCTGATTTCAGCTCCACATTTCATTTCTTGTCCCCGTTTCAAAATAATATCTTTAAAACATAAATCTTTCTCTAGAATCAGAATTTTGGAGCTGAAAAAGACTTTGGAAATCAAGGAGGTCATCTAGTTATTTAGACCCAGAAAAGATAAAGTAATTTGACCATGTGAAAGGACAAAGTCAGCACTGGAACCAGGAATTCTGTTGACCTCCAGCTCCAGTTTGCTTTATCTTGGCACCAGTCTGCTTCCCTATGGTTGGTAGGTTTGATATATTTTTTTCTAATATAATTCATCGACAGATAGATTAAGAGATCCTGAGAGGAAATAAAAACCAATTTACTACTCTTCTATGTGAAGATGACTCTCCTGGCCCTGGCCCAGGCGCATTGCAGGGCAGTGCTGTGTGGTTTTGCTAGCACTGGAGCTGGATTTTCATCAAATCATCCCCCATCTTATTCAGCACACATTTGCAAACTGGCTGGCCAAGATCGGGGCACAGGCTGTAAACATGAAACAGCATTGGTTCCTAGAATTTATCAGATTCATGTCATTTTAGGATCTGGACCAATAAATTATTAATAGGGAGCATAAAAATCACCAGAAGAGCTTATTTAAAGTATACCTTTCTTTTGGGCTTCCCTGGTGGCGCAGTGGTTGAGAATATGCCTGCCAATGCAGGGGACACGGGTTCGAGCCCTGGTCTGGGAAGATCCCACATGCCGCGGACCAGCTAGGCCCGTGAGCCACAACTACTGAGCCTGCGCGTCTGGAGCCTGTGCTCCGCAACAAGAGAGGCCGCGACAGTGAGTGGCCCCCGCGGGCTTCCCTGTTGGCGCAGTGGTTGAGAGTCTGCCTGCCGATGCAGGGGACACGGGTTTGTGCCCAGGTCCGGGAAGATCCCACATGCCGCGGAGCGGCTGGGCCCGTGAGCCATGGCCGCTGGGCCTGCGCGTCCGGAGCCTGTGCTCCCGCAACGGGAGAGGCCACAACAGTGAGAGGCCCACATACCACAAAAAAAAAAAAAAAAAAATGAGTGGCCCCCGCTTGCTGCAACTAGGGAAAGCCCTCGCACAGAAACGAAGACCCAGCACAGTCAAAAATAAATAAATAAAATACTGAATACATAACTACTTTAAAAAAATAATAATAATAATAAAAAATAAAGTGTACCTTTCTGGCTCACCTTAGAGATTCCAAATCAAGTGTAGGTTACAGCACAGGAATCTCCATTTTGACCAACATCCAGGGGATTCTCATGAAAATGGTCCTTAACTGTTAAACTATTCATCATACCTTTTGAAAAAAATTAGCAAAGAACCTATCAAGGATTCAAAATCTACTTGATTCTAGCACATCTGTGCTTAATTATATATTGATCTTTTTTGCTTTAAATATTGCAAATTTCAGTAAGTATATTTAAAAATCTGGAAATGTCTGAGAAAGGTACAAACTGTAGTTAAGAGTCGGCTTTTTGGGGTAATCTTTATTCATTTATATCAGGTATAATAAAAAGCAGAGGTTTGGATTAAGCCAGGACAAACAGAAGAATCATTTGTGACAGGAAAACTTGGGAAGACTGGAACCATAAGGCTTTTTAGAATTGGTTCAAGTCATGATTAGTAGACAGTCAGTTAGTGATACATCTGAGGTGTGTGTACTTCTGTCTTTGCCCTTTTGTTTTCTTCATTTGTGTTAACTGAATACTCAAGCTAGCATCACTGAGTCTGGAGGTAGCGAATATTTGGTGCCTTGTTTACCATATTTGGCGCTAAAAATAAATTATGACTTCAGTTATATGCAGCAGAGACCTGGTATTAAGGACGCTTCCCACAAAACAAACCAGAAGTTGGAGGAACTTAAATTGCTTAATGAGTTTTGTAGCAGCAGAAGAGGAATCATCGTTTAACAATGGACCCTAAGATTGAAGTCATTTAAATTCTAGCTACAGGAGGAATTTAATACAGGAGGTACCCCCTTGGTCTCAAAGCTATCAGCATTCTTGGTCAGTGTGCACCAGATTACTTGGAAACACTAAAGAAGAAAGGCTTCTAAAATTACTCTAAATGTTGATATTCTAACAAGTTATAGTTCTATCCACTTCTATTCCATCCCATTATGCTTCATGGGGGACTGTGTTGCCTTTCTATTGTAGAATGAATTTAAATTAAGTTTAAATTCACAGTGCACAGTTTTGATTCTTTTTCTCGGGTTTAAAGTTTCCCCTACATTTTAAAGCTGCTTACATTTAAGGACAGACTATGAAAACTTAGAGATGGTAGTCCTTGAACTATCCTGGTCAAATGAAGAATGTTAAATTGAAAAGAGTACCCTTAAATGTGAGTTAATAAGGATGCTAGTTTGGAAGCATCATCTACCATGTTTATAGGTGATACTATTATGCATGTAATCTAACACACACGAACCTGACCATTTTTCTTACGGTAGTTTAATCGAATACAGGCAAAGCGTGTTTTGTTGGGCTTCGCAGAAACTGTGTTTTTTTTTTTTACAAATTGAAGATTTGTGGCAACCTTGCTTTGAACAAGTCTGTTGGCGCCATTTTTTCAACAGCACTTACTTCGTGTCTCTGTGTCACATTTTGGTAATTTTCACAATATTTCAAACCCCCCATCAGCAGAAAGATTACAATTCACTGAAGGCTCAATGATGGTTAGCATTTTTTAGCAATAAAGTATTTTTTAATAAAGGTACATACATTGTTTTTTTAGACATAATGCTGTTGCACACTTAATAGACTACAGTATGGTATAAACATAACTTTTCTATGCAAGGGGAAACCAAAAAATAAGTGTGACTTGCTTTATTGCAGTTGTCTGGAACCAAGCCCACAATATCTCTGAGATATGCCTGTATGAAAATAGAGAAGGAATAGTTGCCTCTTCAGAGTAAGGAACAAAAGCAATTAGGAATCAAGGTTGAATGCTGTCTATAATCTTAACAGGTTAATCTGATCTTGCGCCCTCCTAAGTCTAGGATAATAAACCCAAATAACCTTGTGAATTAACTTTTTTGTGTACCTGCTCTCTGATAACAGACATCTCACATAAGCAGTATACTGTACAGGACTTTTCAGCATTCCCCTGCCCTTGGCTAGGATTATCCTCACCCAGTTATTAGTAAGCAAATTAGAGACTGCCTTCCAGCCCAAAAGTGGCTGAATTTTAGTAACATTGTAGGCCACTGAAGCATAAATTATCTGCCATTGTCTATTTTCCTGCTGTGAGGTAATATTCTTTTAAATGAATTTGTTAGCATCCTATTTATTGGAGTTGGCAGTGGTGTTAGATTTGGACAATTTACTGAACTTTTCACCATTTATAACCTTTACTTGTCCCTTAAAAGGAAAGCTGATGTATTGCTACTTGGTGTGTTACAAAGGGTTTGATTACAATTTCTAAATGGAAGACAGATTGCGCCAGGCTGACTCCTCTGGAGAAATTCCAGGCTTTAGATTGGTACAGATATCACATCTAATAGGATGTGGCTAAGAAGCAGTAGACTTTGTGGTTAACACAGAGCTGCAAATCAGCAAAAGTGTGTTCCGCAGACATATAGAGTGGAAAAGTGATATGCAGGTGCCTTTTTGAAAGATTAGCTTACATCCTTTTGCTTTGAAGTTCATTACCAAGGGAAATATGCAAGTGTTATAATTTAAGCATTTATCCTAATAACACCTGTGATTAAATGTAAGTGGGAGGTAGCACTTGCAAGAGCTTCCAAACAAATCTTGGCCTGGTCCTAACAGCCAGAATCCCCGCTGCCTTGTGTGAGATCCTAAAGTTCAGGATCAAACCACCTGAGAAGTGAGCTCTAATTATCTATGCTTTGCTCTTCCTAAAATAAAACAAATTATAATTTGATCCTTTAAGCAAGGGTATGAATGCTGGCATATTTACACAAAAGAGCCATAATAAGTTGCATCATTAGTGTCAAATGTTCACACAGTCCCTCTTCCCACAGTGGGATTCATAAGTTATTTTCTGGCCATTGCCCTTATCTAAAAAACTCAGTAATATCATTAGCTTACCTAGATCTTTAAACTGGACATCCAGTATAATATTTAGTTAATTGAAAATAAAAAATTTTTTGCTCAATTTAGATGATATGCTCACAAATGACTTACATTCAGCCAGAGGAATGGGGGTGGGAGGAGGGAATAGGATCATATCCCATGTAGCACAGTATTTAGAAAAGAGGTTGGGTTTAAGGAATAACACTCTCCCCAAAGTCTACATCACTATATGAAAGAAACTATATTTTGAAATATTATTCAATATGTATATATCAATGCATAATATATTTCCATACATATGTATGGAAATAATTATATATATTATTTTTGCATCAGTTTTGAAGATAATATTAGAAGCCCTCTTGGTTGTATATTCAAGCTATTTGGATACAGTATCTATAGTTTTTCTTATTTTTTTTACCATGAGCTTCTGAAATAAGGTCTGCCTTGTGTGAAACTCAGCATGAAGCTAGGATGTGTTAGTCCTATCTCCTTGTCACTTAATACCTGGCTGACGCACCAACCCATGATTGATGAGTGAGTGCGTGACACCCAGTAGTGCTGGCATGAACTACCGCCTAAAAAAAGACAGCTGTGTCCCCTCCCTCCATTTGTTTTAGGATTTTTGCAATAAGATGTCTTCACCGAATGGTTTCAGCTACCCCTTTAAAAGTCACATTTTCCTACATGAGTTCTTTGCCTTTGGGGGTATGTTTTGCTGTATCAGCCCTTGCCTGACAAGGAAAAACATGAACTAGCTTATGTTTCACAGTCATCTTTCAAGTACTGGGGTGACTGAGTTAGCTACCTTCTTGTAGCCAGTTCTTGGCACCAGTACAATGCTAGGTTCTGAAGTTGTACCATACCCTTATGGCCATGCAAATTGCAGTGTTTTGATTCAGCTGGAAAATCAAGGTTACAGTTGGCGTTTACAGAATGAAGCTTCCCAGCAGTGTTTTGTGATGGCCATAGTGATGTAATTTGAAATATAAAATATCAACAATAGCTATTTTTCCTCAGCTTTACTTTTTAGAATGAAAATGATTAAGAGTTTTGGTGTACCTTTGTATTTTGAAAGCATGGGAGCCACATGGCCAAATGTGTCAGCTGTCAGTGTTTGCTTGACATACACAATAGGAGAACATTAAGAAATTGTCAGGTTAGGATGGGGGAAATGTTGACCAGGACATCAAACTGGGGTTTCTTGTTTTTGTTTTTTTAACACTATTTTTAAACTCTTTTAACAAGTGGAGGGACTATTTTAATATTCTAAGTATAGAAGAAGTAGCTTTTCAACAGTGTTAATTCTAAGTGAAACAGAAGCCCTCTTTGTAAACACTAAAAACTAGACCCCGATTGTAAAAGCAGGGAAAAGAATGGACATGTTTACTAGGTTTATCAGGCACCATTAGATTAAAATGGATTAGAGCAGATTAAAACTTTTCCTCTTCTCTTTGTAGATGGCTCTGAGAGATTCCTCTGTGAATCCGTTTTCAGCTATCAAGTGGCATCTACGCTTAAACAGGTGAAACATGGTAAGCACATGAGTGTTGTGTACTTAACTATGAGAATAAATTTATTGGGGGGTGGGAGAGGGGGACTTAGAAAGGTCAGGGTGCTCTGTAACAAAAACTCAGCAAGGCTATTTAAGTGGACTTTCCAAATTACCTGCAGACAAGAACATTCTACGGTCTTAATCCAGACATAATGTCCACATTGAGGCTTAAAGTTGAAGTCAAAGGGGTTAGTTTTCTAGGGGAGTTAATGCTTCCTACTCCGCTTGTATTGCTTTTTCCTCTCCTTTCTGGAACCTTCTTTTACTGTTGTCCTCCATTGGTTACCATCATTAGCTGCATCTTTGGGTATTTATGTAAGTAATACCTCTTGGTCTAACTGGACTCTTAAGATCCTGGTAGCACCTTTTCTATTCCATCATCCCTCACCAGGTCTTCATTTATGCATCAGGGAACTCTGTTCACCCACCAGACCAGACCATTTCTCCATAGAGAGCATAATGTTGCGGGGGGGAAGCTGCAATTGCCTGTAACCCTAGGTTTTTAGTATACAAATCACAAATTTAGTACACAAATGGAATGGAGGATAAGTACTACTTTTTTTTCCTTTTTTTTTAAGATTAAGTCTTCTGACCAACATAGGGTAAGACCCCATTACTAGAATCTTGAGGGGGAAATCCTTTTAGAAATTATCTTTAAATCAGCCATCATGTTGGTGGTTGATATATCATCTCCTTGATTCTTTACAGATCAGCAAGTTGCTCGGATGGAAAAACTAGCTGGTCTGGTAGAAGAGCTGGAGGCAGATGAGTGGCGATTTAAACCCATCGAGCAGCTGCTGGGGTTCACACCCTCTTCAAGTTGACCTTGCCTGGACAGTCACCTCTGGGGCACAGCAAGTGCAGGTGCAGTGAGGAAATTTTCTTACAGCTTACATAGCCATCCAGAGATTCACAGCTCCATCACTGAATTGTTAATTCACATCCATACTTGGTTTCTCTGTATCTGTCCACAAGCAACAAATACTTAAATGTGTGATCTTACAAGGAAATTTTTTGTTTATTTGTTTAAAAAAGTATTGAGAATCAGATTTAGGCAACTGGCATCACAGAACCAGGAGGTCTGGGTTTAGGAGAGATTAATAAAACTTCACAAGCCAGGACACATGCCAGAATTGGCCAACAGAATGGCATCCCTCCTGTCAATTCATGCAGTTCCTAGAATCCTCACCAGTCAAGTCCGAGGTCAGGATCTGGAGTTATAAAATACAGCATTTCTTTTTTTTTTTTTTTTTTTTTGCGGTATGCGGGCCTCTCACTGTTGGGGCCTCTCCCATTGCGCCGGACGCGCAGGCTCAGCGGCCATGGCTCACGGGCCCAGCCGTTCCGCAGCATGTGGGATCTTCCCGGACCGGGGCACGAACCCGTGTCCCCTGCATCGGCAGGCGGACTCTCAACCACTGCGCCACCAGGGAAGCCCAAAAAATACAGCATTTCTGACCTAAAACCGTACTTTTTGCAGGTGAATGTGATTTCAACTCAGGACCTGTTCAAATTAGGAATTTTTTAATGTTTGGGATTTTTTTTCTATTTTTAGACATCTAATTCTATAGATTCTATCTTTTTCTAACCTCTAGGCATGCCAAATGCTGGCAAAAAGAATTGCTGTTTTTTTTTTTTTTTTTTGCGGTACGCGGGCCTCTCACTGTTGTGGCCTCTCCCGTTGTGGAGCACAGGCTCCGGACGCGCAGGCCCAAGCGGCCATGGCTCACGGGCCCAGCCGCTCCACAGCATATGGGATCCTCCCGGACTGGGGCACAAACCCACGTCCCCTGCATTAGCAGGCAGACTCTTAACCACTGCACCACCAGGGAAGCCCAAAGAATTGCTTTTTGAATGTTGAAGTTCTGGTAAAAATAAAGCAGTGAGCAAAATCCTTTTAAACACAGAAATCCTGAGTTCATCTTGTTGGTGGGCTCAGGCAATTCTGTAGCAAATAAATCCTTTGAAAGAGCTCCAGATTGGTTTCTTTATCCTTTCAAAGCCTCAGGGATTTGGGATAGGGGAAAGAGGTCAAATTACTTTTTATAAGAAGGGAATATAAAAACCATTTCTCCTAAGTAAATGGTAGATTTGCTTTCTCTCAGGGATATTTGTCTATTTCGAAGTATATGAATTTATCATCAATATCTGAGTAGGTTTTTTACCATGAAAAGGAAAAACCTGAAAAGCTAAGAGGTGTCTTTTGTTTTCCCTCATGGGACCCCAGGGTCCACACTGCACAGTTAGGAGAATCATTTATTAAATTGTATGCAAATTTTGCCTCAGACAGCATTTGCCTTTCTCCTCATTAATAACTTGTACCTGACCTGCTTAGAGTTGGTTAATTATGAATAAATAAGATTCCAGTAGCAATTGGCCTTAATCTCAGGAGTTCAGAATGTTTTAACACATAGTATATAACAGGCAGGTGGTGACCTCATTGCGTCGAAAAGGAATCTGAGCACAGGAAAGTTAAAGACCTGCTCATGGCCACGTAGCCCAGAAGCCCAGAAGAAAATCTTGGCACTTGGAATAGATTGCAGTTGATTAACAATTCAGCCCACTAACCTTGTCTCTGAAGCACATCAGAACACAAAAATTACCAGTCCTCAAACTCACCTATTTCCATATTAATACTTCTTAACCTAAACTAGTTCCATATTTGAAAGCCATTGAGTTTCCTAACATTGTCCTTTTTGGCATCAACCATCTTTATGATTACCAGAGGAAAAATTTTAAATACGTAGTCTGCAATAAACCTTTAAATCATATTTTCAGTGACAGTTCAGAAGCAATCAGTAACTTTCTCTCATTTGATTTATGTAACTGTACAGCACAGACACTGTATTACCTCATCATTACCCTTTGGTATTTGAACTTACAGAATTTTTTCCTCGGGCTTCCCTGGTGGCGCAGTGGTTAAGAATCTGCCTGCCAATGCAGGGGACACGGGTTCAAGCCCTGGTCCGGGAAGATCCCACATGCCGCGGAGCAACTAAGCCCATGTGCCACAACTACTGAGCCCACGCGCCACATCTACTGAAGCCTGCGCGCTCTAGAGCCCATGCTCTGCAACAAGAGAAGCTACCACAGTGAGAAGCCCGCGCACCACAATGAAGAGTAGCCCCTGCTCGCAGCAACTAGAGAAAGCCCACGCACAGCAACGAAGACCCAACACAGCCAAAACTAATAAATAAACAAAAACAATAAAATAAATAAATAAATACATTTATATTGTTTAGGGATTTTATAGCTTCATAGCTTTCCTTAATTTCTCCCAGATATACAATTACATTAGCATAGTTCATTAAAAAAAAAAAGAATTGTTTTCTCTTTAAGTTGGACATTTCCTTTTATGACCTTAGAAATTGAAGAGATCCTAGAGTTGAGCAGAAATACGTTCTGAAGCACCTTTCCCCGTGAAGATTCAGCTTCTACTTGAGTGCTGCCAGGAATGAGACCCTCACTATTTGAGGATGGCCCCTCCCTCTCTGCACCTTTCTGTTGGTCATTATGTCTCATCCACAACTCCTATTGCCATGTTTTGGGCTTGAAAAGGGACCTGTTGTTGCTCATCTTTCATCCCCTCTGCACTCATTATGTGCCAGCCACTCACAGGCATTAATCATAATCCTTTCAGTAATGCTGTAAGATGTGTAACACCCCCTAATACAGAAGAGGAACTTGAAGCACAAAGCAGGCATTACTACATGCTAAGGCTGCATAGCTAAGTAAATGGCCAAGTCTGGATTTGAACTCAAAGTCTGCCAGACTCCAAAGCTAAGATTATTTTAGTTGAATCATGTGGCATCCCACTGAGCCCAATCCAGGGCCTCGTACAAAGGAAAATCCTAAAACCTTCTTTTTTCTTTTTAATGATAAAATGAATTAACTACCTGGAGGAAATAAGCCTTGTCACTACCCTCCCTTCTTCCAGTGCTTGTTGATAAAGAGTCTTAAGTACAATGAAGGCCTCTTTCTTTAAGAACTGATAGGAATTAGGGGCTTCCCTGGTGGCACAGAACCCACCTGCCAATGCAGGGGACACGGGTTCGAGCCCTGGTCCGGGAAGATCCCACATGCTGCAGAGCAACTAAGCCCATGTGCCACAACTACTGAGCCTGCCCTCTAGAGCCCGCGCACCACAACTACTGAAGCCCATGCACCTAGAGCCCGTGCTCTGCAACAGGAGAAGCCACTGCAATGAGAAGCCTGCACACCACAACAAAGAGTAGCCCCCGCTCACCGCAACTAGAGAAAGCCTGCACGCAGCAACGAAGACAAAACAGCCAAAAATAAAAATAAATTTATTAAAAAAAAACAGATAGGAATTAGCTATATGTTAGTATCTACCTAACCTTTTAAGATTCAGTATGATGAAATGCAGTTAGATGCTTAAGGGGTACCTACCCAAGTGAGCAAGGAGGAAGGCAAGAGGGCAGATGGCAGCTAACAACCAGGACTGCACGGACAGCCATCCTAAGAGAGCGGATGGTAACAGTGCCTCAGTGCACAAAACACTTTGCAGCTTCTAAAGCATTTTCATATATGTCGTGTCTTTAGTCCCTCATCAACGCTGTGAGATAAATGAGGCAGGTAGTTTACAGTTGAAGAAACCAGTACAGAGAAGGTAAGGTATCAAGATTATTATCCAAATTATAGTTAATAATATAGGCCTTTCAAATCTTTGTCTCTGTGCCTTCTAGTTCATCATATACTAGAAAATCTGAAGGCAGAACTTGCTGTTAATAAAGAATTGTTCATGTCGGTTTGATACATAATTCCATATAAGTGTTTTGTCTCATGGTAATGATACATAAATAGTAAACTTAAATAAAGGTGGTTTGGGGACTTCCCTGGTTGGTCCAGTGGTTAAGACTCCACGCTCCCAATGCGGGGGCCCCAGGTTCGATCCCTGGTCAGGGAACTAGATCCTGCATGCTGCAACTACAGATCCCGCATGCCGCAACTAAGACCCAGCACAGCCAAATAAATAAATAAATATTTTTAAAAAAATAAATAAAGCTGGCTTTACTTTTATGTAGTCAAAAATCTTACTTTCTGACTTTATCCAGGATCAGCATTAAAGTCCTGAGTTTTCACTGATAAGCTTTAATGTGTTAGTTATCAGTGCCATCGCATGGCTGATACTGACCTGGAATGACAGTGGTCTGGAACTCTAAATCACGTTCCTGACCCTAGGACCTCTCTGCTCTGTCCATTTGCTTGCAGTCTGTGGCTTCCCTTCCCCCAAATGGTTGGGAGGCTTTGAATCTCTTGTTCCCGATCAGAACACCAGACACTGAAGTGGTAGAAACTTTGGACCTTAAGGCCAAACCAAAGATAGGAGAAAGGAGGTAAGACCAGGAGATGCCTATCATCCACAACAAAGAGGAGGAACCTGCCCAAGGATGTGGTTCCCTTTCAGGCAAGCCCAAGAGATACTACACTTGGAGGAGAAGGCCATTCTGCCTCTCCCTCTCCTTTTGCCAAAGCACCTAACTTTGCCTAAAATACCTTGCCTGGCCTCCTTGTAATTGCCCAAAGTTCCAACCAAGACAGATCCTTTCCACAAAAGAGAAAAGGCTTAACTAACAGATACGTGGGAAAGTTTTGGGTTGCAGGCAGAGTACAGATGATACCAGATCTTCTCCTGTTTCCCAGAGCTGAGTTTGGGATGGAGATGGCACCAAGGGTGGAGAAGAATGGGAGAAGGAGGCGGGAGCAGGATGCTTCGCCACCAGCCTGCCTTGTTAATTTGCATCTGGTCAAAGAGGGAGTCTGAGAATTTTAGAGCTGAATAGAACAGACCTTAGAGATCATCTAGTTCATCCCCCTGGTTGACAAATAGGACGTTGGGACCCTGTCTGTGTCATTCATTGCTGTATATTCAGTACCTAGAACACTACCTGGCACATAGTAGGTGTGCTACAGGTATTTACTGAGTGAATGAATGTATGAATTTGTTGCATGTTTACCCTGTTTTAGAAGCTGTGCTAGCTACTTACAGTGCAGCATCCATAGTGGAGAAAAGCCTAACGTAATTGAGATAGGTGGTGGGCAGAGCCAAGACAATAAGCCAGAGCTCAGCCCAGAGTTCTCTATAATGCTATACTGACAAGTGGAAGCTGTGGAACAAACGGCAACTGTGTCCAAAACAGCCATGGTAGGAGCCTGGGCAAATGATGCTGGTGGCCCGCTGCCCTTCTCATAGGCTCCTGCACATGGACCCAATGGTAGTCCCACATGTCAGCATCCATGAGCTGGTCTCCACCTCTCCAGATACTTTAATTTCTGCAGCCTGTCAAGTCTCCCTAGAGAAGCTGTTTATCCAGAATCCGCTTACTTCATTTTTATAATACAAGCTCTTTAGGGAAGGTAATGAAACAATATAGTTTGTTACCAGCAACAACAGAGAGGATGTTTATTTCCAAATGTCTTTTACTCATTTCACAGACATTTCTTGAGCACTTACTATGTGTTTAGCATCTGCTAAATGCTGAGGATATGCTGTCAAACAAAACACAGTCATCAGCCTCAAGTTTATAAATATATTAAGAAAGAGAAAAGAGCAATTTTCAGTGTAAAAAACTGTCTGATAACAGAAAGCAGGAAATGCTGTAAAATCAGAGACAGCTTTAATCCAGCTGAGCAGGGGTCAGAGAAGACTTCCTAGGAGGATGGTGTTTAGGCTGAGACCTGAAGAACAAGTAGGTGGCGTGGGAAGGAAAGACTTTCTAGATGGAAGGAACAAAATATGCAAAGGCTCAAGAGTGAGGAAGGACATCGTGCTTCTGTGGGGCTGCAGGTGCTTTGTTATGGCTAATTCATAGAGTATAAGGACAAGATGATAGATTTTATCTGAGAGTTACTCAAGAAGTAGCATATATGGGACTTGGTGACTGGTCAAACTTGGAGAACTCAGGGAGGACACCCGGGTTTCTTGCGTCAGTAGCTGACGGACTGGATTCTATTCACTGAGACAGGAGTACAGGGAGAGAGGCAGGCTCAAGGAGATGTCCAGCAGGCAGGTGACTCTATGGTCTACATATAGTTCAGGAGAGTGAGCTGGGCTAGAGTTAGATTTGGGACTCACCCACCTAGAGACATGCAACCAAAGGTGGGCATGGATGGTATTGCCCAAGGAGAAAGCCCACAGAGTAAGAAGAGAATTGGAACCCTGGCATCTAAGGCAGCGGTCCCCAACCTTTTTGGCACCAAGGACCGGTTTCGTGGAAGACAGTTTTTCCACGGATGGTGGGGGGCGATGGTTCAGGCGGTAATGCGAGTGACAGGGAGCAGCAGATGAAGCTTCGCTTGTTCGCCCGCCGCTCATCTCCTGCTGTTGTCCTAACAGGCCACGGACCGGTACGGTGGCCCAGGGGTTGGGGACCCCTGATCTAAGGGACAGGAAGAGGAGGGGGAGGAGCCCAGGAAAGCAAATGGCAGGAAGTAACCAGAGACAGCCAGAAAATGAGGAATGTGGTATCAGGGAAACCAGGAGAAAGGATGTTTTAAGAAGGAGGCTGCTGGACTTCCCTGGTGGCGCAGTAGTTAAGAATCTGCCTGCCAGTGCAAGGGACACGGGTTCGGGCCCTGGTCCGGGAAGATCCCACATGCCGTAGATCAGCTAAGCCCGTGAGCCACAACTACTGAGCCTGCGCTCTGGAGCCCGCGAGCCACAACTACTGAAGCCCGCGTGCCTAGAGCTTGTGCTCCACAACAGGAGAGGCCACTGCAATGAGCGGCCTATGTATGCACCGCAGCAAGGAATGGCCCCCACTTGCTGCAACTGGAGAAGGCCCGCGTGCAGCAACGAGGACCTGATGCAGCCATAAATAAATAAATAAACAAATAAGTAAATAAATGAAATTATTAAATAAAAGAAAAAAGAAGGAGCCTGCTGCAAATACCAGTATCTGGTATAGCCAAGCAATGAACTGACAGGGGTGGAGAAGGCCTTCAGATTTTACCTAGGAACTTGATGGTGACCTTGTCTCAAGAGCAGCCACATTTGTGGTACAGTGGGGGCAGAGCCAGACTGCTGTGGCTGGGAGGGTGAGTGGAAGGTGAAAATATGGGGCCAAATCTAGGCAACATCTTTGAAGTTCAGTGGGAAGCAGAGGCAAAAATGGGGGACAAAGAGGGTGATAGTTAAAGGAGGACACATAGTCAAGACGTTTGTTCTGGGGATAGGTCAAAGAGAAAGAGGGCATAATTGAGGGTGTAAGGTCCCTGAGGAAGTGGAAGGGGTGGGATCCAGAGCCCAGCTGGAGTGATTACCCTTAGAGGGAGGGAGGGCAAAAGGATAGTGCTGATGCGGGTAAATGTGTAGGTGAGGTGGCGGGAAGTTAAGGGAGTCCCCATCAGATGGCTTCTATGTTCTCTGTGATGGAGGAGGCAAATTGGTGTATGGCCTGCGGCAGGAGCAGGACAAAGCAGGAACAGTGGGCTTGGGAATGGTCCCTGTGAAGAATGGGAGGGAGCTGACCAGGGTCAGAGGATTGCCAAGCACATTCAGGGGCCATTTCCAGTTTGAGTCCCTGAATTTGCAATGGCACCAATTGTTGGGGAAGTATACCAGCAACTCCTAGCAGCCTGGCAGTAGGAATGAAAAAAATGAATAGTTGGTGGTTACAGTCTTACATGGTAAGGGTGAGGGGGTAAGCAAATTGTTGGTCTAGGGCTAGCAAGGGAAGGAAGTGAAAACAAGAAGAGGTTACAAGAGAGAAATTATTAGAAGGGTCAGACATTTCTTGAGGGCCTACTATGTCTCTGGTAATATGTAGTCAATAGAAATACAAAGATGGAGCAATAGTTCCCAAACCTAGCTGTGCCTCAGAACCAAGCTTAATAAAAATACTCCCTGGCTTCATTCCTGGGATCCAATAGGTCTATGGCTGGGGGTCTCGTGTGACCCTCCTGCAGCCAGTTTTGGAAACCACTTGGACCAATGAAAAAGCGGACAAGTAAACACATATGGAATCTATACAGCACCATAACTCCATGACTCTGGTCTATATGGGGTGCTGTGGAAGCCAAGAAGTCTTGGAGGTGGGAAAGAAGGGGAGATAACAAGGAAACTTTCCTAGAGAAGGTGAGCCTGGGCCTGAGCATGCCTGTTCAATTGGGGTTAGAGGGGAATAAGCCAGAGAACCATGCCAAGTACAGGGAATAGCACGTGCATAGGCAGGGCCGCATTCATGGAACTCCAGGTCATTTGGTGTGGCTGGAGCTGAGCATGTAAACAGGGGAGGGGTGCGACCTCTCAGAAGAAGGAAGCAAGAACCAGATTGTTTTGAGCCTCATTCACCGTGCTCTACTTTCCATCAAAAGAGCATTTCTCTGACACGGACAGGGTACACCTAAGAAAAAGGTCAACAATCCTGACTTTTACAATAAGTAACTTAGGAAGCAGGCTCCTCAAGACCTGGAAGGGTTAGACCCTTAGGCTGGTATAACGCATCAGAGGTGATCTTTACAGACCACTAGGCAGTACTGTTGACAGTATTTTTGCTCTGGCTGGAAAGTAAATATTTACAGATTTGTATTTATTTACTTATTTTTAGGGAAAGGCAGATGTTCTAAGCTCAGAATTATTGAAGGAGCCTCCCTTCTGGGCTCTGAGCCAAACCAGGATAAGAGGCAGCTTGAAGGGATCAAATATAAAGTATATGGACATTGTGGAGAGATGTTTTTCCCCCCAAATGGTTTCTCCTCCTTCCTTCCCTGGCCCCGAAGGCCTGAAGTAAAATCCCACACCCTCTCTCCCCCTCCTTGTTCTCAGAAATCTCCAGGCATATATTTGAAGATAAACCACACAAGCATGGGCATTTCATCTGTTTAGCAAACCCAAAGGTCATGTTTGCGGGCTGTTGAAGTCAGACTCTACCCACGTAACTTTCTGCAGAGTCTCCAAAATATAGTAAATCTGGAATCTTCTGTGAAGTCAGGGCAACTTAGCTCTCCAACATAGTGCCTAGAGGACAACCTAGGACTTTCTATCCTGGACCAGTGTCACTGCCCAGAGAAGACTCAAGGCTCATTCTGTGATCCTGCTTCAATGCTCAAGGCTACAGTGCTTTTTGAAAGCACTCCTGATCATGAAAAGGAAAATCAGACTCTCCCAGCCAGCCTGAGATTGCAGCTGGAGGACCAGGTGCTATGGCCTCCAGAGACCTATGGACTTAGGAGCCAGGAAGAAAGCAGGACATCATCCCCATGCCATCTCTCAGTACAGTGGAGTATTCATTCCGAGAGCTAGAAAAGAAGCAGAAGGGGGGATGGAGGACCAAGGAGGAGGGCAGCGCCTTGTTGTCTGGGAGCATAAGCTCTGGCTGCGCCTGTAGTTAAGCCTTATCCACTATGCTGCAGCCAAGGGGCATCCTTATTAGGCAAATAGAAAAGCAGGGCCTTAACCTCAGAGTTCTGCAGCTCTTCATGACCCCGGGGATCACTGAGTCCAAGGACAGAGAAACCATCTCCCATTCTGAGCCTCTGCAGTCTCTTTTGAGTCCTGCTGGCTTTGTGGCCAAAATGAACTTTCCATGAAAAAGAGTTAGGCTCCTGGAAGGTGCCAATTTAATACTCTTCCATTTAAAAGCTGCCAAGGGGGATGGGAAAGGCTTCAGTAATGAAGGCATGAGTGACCATGAGGGCCTGGGCTCAGCACCCACACCTCTCATTTTGGCGCAATAGCTCTCAGGGTAGGTACAAGTCATACCCAGGCACTGGGGACTCATCATGGTTAATATATAGTGAAGAGTAACTATATGTGGGGCATTGTGCTAAGTACTTCACACACATGATGTCATTTACTCACTGGGAGAGGGCAACAGAAAGGCCATGTGGGGCAGAAGAAACCACCAAGGAATGGCAGGAAAGAATCCCATAGACTAAGAGCTGAAGGGCCTCAGCAACTGTATTCACTTGAGCTAGGGCTGCCATAAGAGCCTACTAGGGCGGCCATAACAAAGTACACAGACTGAGCAGCTTAAACAGAAACTTAATAGTCTCACAGTTCTGAGGTCTAGAAGTCCAAGATCAAGATGTCACCGTGGTTGGTTCCTGCTGGAGGCTGTGCAGGAAGGGGTCTGTTCCAGGCCTCTCTCCTTGGCTTGTAGATGACCATCTTCTCCCAGTGTCTCTTTACATCATCATCACTCTATACGTGTGTCCCCTTTTTATCAAGATACCAGTCATATTAGATTAGGGTTCACCCTACTGAACCTCACTTTAACTCAGCTACCTCTATTGAGTTCTATCCCCAAATAAGATCACATTCTAAGGTACCGAAGTTAAGACTTCAACATGTAAATTTTGAGGAGGGACACAATTCCACCTGTAACAGCAATGATGTCTAACCAAATCCTCTACTTTTATAAATGAGGGTATTGAAGCCTTGAGTAGGAAAGTGACTTGCACAGGGTCACACAGCAAATTGGAAAAACTAGGACTAGAACCCAGGTCTTTGGGGGCTGCAAGTTTTGTGCAGATTTCCCTGGAGTAGCCGCACTGCCAGCCTTGGGAAGCTCCTTCTCCAAGAAAGGAATCCCTGAGCTTGGATAAGTATGGGAAGCACCCAGTCGAATCTCTTTATAGGCATGGGGTGAGGACACACTAAAACTCTCTTACAAACCAATATTTGGGAAAAGACTCTGAAATGCCAGAGTGGAAGGAGCCCTATTAATAGAGCTTAATATAAGCACTGGGGTTTATTTTCAATGGCCAGGCCCCTCATTAAGGAGGCAGATATGTGGTGTGTTATAAAAGAAGAGCTTTGCTCCTTACTTGTAGCCCCCAGTAGCGCAGGGAGCCAGAGTACGGCTGGGTGCTGGCTGCTCACAGACTCTCCCTGACTGTTCACTCTCTCCGGGCTCGTCTCTGCCTCAAGGCTGGCATCTGGCCTCCATACCTGGCCATTCTGCAATCAGTTGTGAGAACTCACTAAGAAAACTCTTTTGAAAGTCTCACGCAACGTGCAGGAGCAACATGGGTTTAAGAGCCTTGCTCTCGCAGCTTCAAAAACAAGGAGGCAAAAATTGAGATTGAATATAGTATGGAAGTGTGGGTGACACCAAACCGCAGATGAGTCGATAGGCTGCGGGGAAGGAAGTGAAAAGTTCACCTTGTCCTTCCCTGTAACGGAGGGCTGTTGGTTTTGCAGAGGTTTGCTTTTTAAAAATTTTTTCATTCAATAAAAATAGCTCGGTGGGACAACATATTATAGCATTCGTGGAAATAAAAACTAGGAACCACATCATAGGATGTTCTGCTCCAAACTTGGCCCTGGTTCCCCAGGCAGCTCCCAGTTCCTTTTGATTAATGCAGCAGCCGTGGAGGCCCTCACCCCGTCCCAGGTGGGGCCTGGACTTCAGGGAGGAAGGGAGGAGATGGTCCAGTGGCATCAGCTGTTTCCCTGCACGGGAGCCAAGACCCTCGCCTCAGCTAGAAACTCAGCTTTGTCCCCTGTGTCTGCCTTCCGCACTGTGAAAAGTTTCCATCACAAAGGGTTGATTCAGGAAACCAAGGTTAGAGGCAAACGGTCTTATTTGAAAATGGTGAAGGCCAGCCAGGCTTTGGGCTTCCTGCATTGATTGCTCTCCTGGGGCCTGGGACCAGCCCACCAGGGTGGGGCAGGCAGCTCTGCAGGTTACAGGATGTGAAAGTGGGGACTGAGGTTAGGAAAAAGAATAAAAGGCTAGGACCAGAACACACCCAGCAGAAGGCCATGTGCAGTTCTCCTCTTCACGGTTTCCTGTGGGTACACTGAGAACATTGTGTTCTGGCTGTGAACTTACCCGGCTGAGCCGGCTCCAGACTCCGCCCCTGGGTCCTAGTGCTGCCTCTCGCTATCCTCGGCCTTAGGTCACCTGCACCGCGTAAAGCCCACTGAAGGACCCCAGGAGGCCACTTCCATTGTGCCCTCCCTACTGGGTGAGCCTCCAGTGACCAGACTGTGGGCACTTACCTTCCCATTCATCCTGAAGCATCTTCGACTTGCTTGGCACTGTCACATAATAGCATCTCATGTTCCTCATGACAAAACCTCCTTCAGATGACAAAACTGAGGCTCTGGGAAATTGGGAGGAACAACCAAGGTCAGTAATTCAAGGTTTTTGGACCCAGATCTCCTGACACTTTAGGGGTAACTACTTAAAGACCAGCACTTCAAACCCCTGAAATGAATGTAAGCCTTTACCTTCAAAGTTTCTCTCCAGATGAATTTGACAGTAAGGTGATTTCTTAACGAATTCTCCAAAACAGCTAAAAGCTCTGGCATGTGGTGTAGAGCTGACCAGAGGAAACTGGAGAGCCCAGTGCTCTGTCTGCCCTGTGCCTCAGCTCCCTGGACCTGCCACCAGACGCCTATGTGCAGCCCCACACTAGGCCTGGATTGTTCTGGGCCTGGGTAGGGTCCTGAAACTCAGAGGCAGACGCTGGGCTCCAGCCCAAGTAGCCAAGGATCAATGGGCCAGGAGAGAGGGAAAGGGACTCAGGAAGGGGGTTGAACTCTCTGGTTAGAAGAGATTTTTGTCAGTTTTTAAACTGGCTTCTGGGTCATCAATTCCTCTACTAGACGGTGAGTCTCTTTTTCCAAGTCATCTTTGTATCCTGTGGGTATGCTTGTCCTTGATAAACGGTTGTTGAACGACCTGGGTGGAAGTCACTCACCGGAAGGCCTTGCCTGTAGCCTTGGATCACAGTCTTTCCCAACTGCACATTGAGCACCTACTGTGTACTAAGTTAACAATGATTGATAAAGGGCACACAATTGCTAAAAACAAATGTACAAACAAAGGAAAGGCAGCCATGGTGTCTACCCCTCCTAGAGATCGCAGTCTAGTGGAAAGAAAGGCATTCAATAAGCAAGAACAATCCCCAGGGTCCAGGGTTATCCTAGGTGGAGTCCAGAGTGCTATGGGTGAGCACAGAGCAGGGAGACCTAAGAACATTGGGGGCCCAGGAAAGTCCTCGAGGGAGAGCTCTTCAAACTGAGACCCAAAGGGAAGTTAGGAATTAGCCAGACAGAGGAGCCTGGGAAAGGGAGCTTCAAGCAAAGGTAACAGTGCTTGTGAAGACCTGGAATTTAGAAATCAGATGGCTCATTGATAGAACTGAGAATAGTCTTCTATGTCTTCTGAACACCACCAGTGGGAAATCTAGTTCTCAGTCCAGGGGAGAACCCAGGCATTGTTATTGTCCATAAAAAAGGAATCCTACTACTTCTCTGTGGCCTTCCCCTAGGCCCTAGACTCCAAACCAGAGAAATCCTAAAAGCTGACTGGGATATATCTTGAGGCAGGAAGGCCATGACTGTGGCCAGAAGGGGCAGGTACTAGTCCAGGCACGGGGACCCTGGACTGAGATACTGGGCAAGTCACTTCCAACCTCCCTCTGGATCTCAATTTCAGGCTTTATGTATTCTCAGTAGTTAGCCTGACAGTTAGACCTTCCTGAATTAATGAATGACTGCAGTTTCCATCTGGAAAAAGACTTCTTCCAATGCTAAGATTCTGGGTTTGAGACCCACAGTCAGTCATTCCCAGGATTCTTTTGGCAACAGAAGTGCCATGAAAGGAAGGAGGACAGTGCCCAGCACACCCACAGCAAATGTTTGTTGAATGAATGACTGCTCTCCCTGAAGTCACTCTAAAAGCTTTGATGGATCCTTGCTTCTCTCAACAGCTGCTTTGATCTCCGTCACTCCTAACCCTGTGCAGTCATTATCACCCACCTACTTCATAGGCAGACATCAGATTTCGTTGTGAAAATAAACCCTAGATCTTGCCTTTAGTGCTCCATCCTAGGGGAAGAAGATGGAAGATGACTGCAGGAAGCTGAGAGGCAGTGTAAGGAAGAAAGAGAAAGGCCTAAGGTGGTCAGAGTCTGAAAATCAGTGCACATTCTCACGTAACACTCCCTGTCTTAGAAACCCCAAACCTGCCAAGAGCTCTGCCCCCTCCGGTGAACAGCTAGAACTCACCAGGGCTTGCTGGAAGAGCTCTGGAAATGGACAAGCGCTCCCCGAGCCACCACATTCCCTACTTGCCCTGAATCAGGCGCTATGGTGAGGGCAAGAGTTCCCAGCCGGGCACACCCTGAAATGCATTTTCCCTCTTCTGTGGGTTTCCAGGCTAGCCCGCAGAAGCCTGATTCATCCACAACCGCAGTGAAACATAGAATTAATTCTGGCTATACCCTGGGTGAGCTCGGCCATTATGGCAACCAAACCACTACTTACAGCATTATTTTGTTGGGAAAATGTGTTCTGAGCTCCAAGCAACCAAATTATAAGTGGGACATAGGCACACCCAGTTTCAAATCCCAGTTTTAACACTTCCTAACCATGTGGTCCTGGGCAAGGCACCATCCTCCCCAGCCTTAGTTTCCTGCTTTGTAAAAGAATACCTCCTTTAGGAGGTTGGAGTGCTGACTGAATAGACCCCCATGAAAGTGCCCCATGGCCCTGGGCAGACGTCTCGCTCCTGCCTTTCACAGGAACTTTTGGAGGGAGACATGGAGATATGACTCCAAACACAGTGCCTCTGAGGAGGGTTTACCCAGCTTGCGTGGGGGCAGCATTACCATTGGACTCAGCCTCGCTCAGAGCAAGTGTTTCTGAGATAAATGAGCCGCTGTCTTAGAAATCACAGAGCATTCTTCATCTTTGACCTTCTCCAGGCTTGTATTGGCTTCTCTGAGCCAAGAAACTTCTCCTGCCCCAACTCAGCTCCCTCTCGCCCAATCTCTCCATGAACAGCATTGTTCTGGTTTCCTTTGCTCCTGATCCTAGTCAGGGGCTTCGCCTCCAGAAGGGGCCAGAAGCCCTGGCCTTTCACCCAAGCCTGGACGTGAGCCCACAAGAACAAGCAGGAGGAGGGCAGAGACCCAGGCGGCACCGCCGGGCCCTGCGAAAGGCAGACTCCCCCTGCCGCCTTTGGCTTTGGCCCCTCCTTGCTCTGTTTGTTTCCAAGCTGCAGCCAGAACGGTCTGTACCCAAAGGATGGTGAAACAGCCAAGGAATCCGTAGGGTCCTAAAGGTCGACCTCCTTCCTTTCCTTGCCCTTGTTCCCAAAAGTTAAGGTTTCCTGGTCTTGGGCTCCTTGTCCCCTACCCAGGGTCACAGGCACTGTGGAGGTCAGTCATCTTGAATGAGCCTCCCTACACTGCCCTGTGCTTCCCACATTCCATTTCCACAGCCATCCTCACTTCTCCCCATTTGGAACCACAGAGCCTTCCCAGACCCTTCCCCCATCTGTCCAGGAGCTGCAGTACTTCTCACTGGGTCTCCACTGCTGCAGCCCCACCCTACCTCTTTATCCAACCCCCACCCCATCCTCAATCCTGCAATAGCCAAAACACAAAAACCTCTTGTGATAGTAATATGAGCTCATGGTAAAAATCTGATTTCCAGGGCTTCCTTGGTGGCGCAGTGGTTGAGAATCCGCCTGCCAATGCAGGGGACACGGGTTCGAGCCCTGGTCCGGGAAAATCCCACACCTCGTGGAGCAACTAAGCCCGTGCGCCACAACTACCGAGCCTGTACTCTGGAGCCCGTGAGCCACAACTACTGAGCTCGAGTGCTGCAACTACTGAAGCCCTCATGCCTAGAACCCGTGCTCCACAGTAAGAGAAGCCACCGCAATGAGAAGCCCACGCACCACGACAAAGAGTAGCCCCCACTCGCCACAATTAGAGAAAGCCCATGCATAGCAACGAAGACCCAACACAGCCAAAAAATAATAATAATAAATAAATAAAATTTATTTTAAAAAAAATCCTATTTCCAGTGTTTCTACAAAGCAAAATAAAGGTAACCTTACTTTTTAACCTAAAAAAAAAAAAAGATATAAAGTGAAAAACTAAAAGCCTCTCCCACCCCTCCATCCCTCAGAGATAACCTCTGGGGGCAGTTTTTCCAGTACCCTTCTAGATGTTTTCTCTGCACATGTAAGTGTGTGTCTGCAGGGGAATGTCCTCTGTTTTTCTTTCAAAATGAGATTAGAGGTTACAAATTGTTCTGCAACTTGTTCTTTTTGCCTAACAACGTATCGGGCATTTTTCCAAAACTGACCTCACTCTTTTTAACACCCACATAATACTCCATGATTTGGATGTACTATAGTTTATTTAACTGTTATCCTGCCACAGACACTCAAGGTGGGTTTTTTTTTTCAGTTTTCTTCCATCACTATCTAACTGGTTCCTGGCCTCAGGTCTCAAACCTCTGATCTGCCTCCCACACCACTGCTTGATTGCAACACCAAGTCTGACTATCATTCCCAGCTCAGCTGTTTTCCTTGCATTAGGGTTATTCACAAGGTGTCTTATCTCCCCTCCTAGGTCGTAAGCTCAGGACAGGGTGTTTGCCTTGGAGGTCCTGACACGGAACACTAGGCCTGTCAACTCCGCAGTTTTTGAGCCAGTCTCAGTGCTGCCCTGGGGAAGTAGAAGGAGGTTCTCAGGCCACATGGACACTCATTTTCTTTTTCATATATATGTGTTGGGAACTCTGGGGACCTGGCTTTGTGCAGGGCACTGGAGCTCCGGGATGAAACAGATACAGACCTTGGCAAGCTTACAGTTTAATGGGAAAGACAGGCATTGTACATCCACACAGATAAATACATGGATAATTACATATGGGATGAGTACTTTGAAAGGAAACAACAGAGGAGAAGGAATGGGGCCACCAGGAGAGAGGGCCAGTGAAGCCAGCAGACCATGGGATCTGGTTCCCATTCCAGGCCACTTCCCCTTTAATCTTCTCATCTGACAAGAAGGGAAATACCTCTTTCAGTTTTAACTTTCTGTGATAATAATACACACTATCAGAGTTCAGGGCAAGTAGAGTTCCCCACTGCCTGATAGGGGTCAAGGAAGACTTCTCATTGACATCACATTGACCTTGAGTCACAGGCAAGCTCTACTGCCATTCGATTCCAGGCCGAATACTTGTTGAGCATATACCATATGTATCTAACATATAGAGGTTAGGGGTGTGTGTGTGTTGGGGGTAGTTGTGGTGGTGAGTGTTTAAAGATTTAAAATAGGTGACCTCTGAAAGAGTT